AGTCACAGGAAAAGTTTATCACCTTGGGGAACTGATGTTCTGACCTTCATCTGAACAGGTTTAGAAAACACATTAACAGTGAATCTTATTGACTCAGAGGATCTCTCTCTCTCTCTTTCTCTTTCTCCCTCCCTCTCTCCCTCCCTCATATGTGTGAGGGGTGTGTACAGGCACACATACATGTGTATATGTGTTTGTAGACCTTGGAGTGCCATTCCTCCTCAGGCATCATCTTCTGCTTTGAGTCAGGGTCTCTCACTAAAACCTGGGATTCACTGATAGTGCTCGGCTGGGCTGGGCAGCAAGCTCCAGGGATTCACCGGTCTCTTTGTCCTATCACTGTGTTTGCAGACATGTGCTATATAGCCTGGGTTTATTTGTTTACTTAGATGTAATTTATATGCACGAGTGTTTTGCCTGGTACCACATGAATGCCCGGTGCCCTTGGAGGTCAGAAGAGAGCATCAGATCTAGAGCTGGAATAATGGATGGTCACTGTGAGCTGGAAACCCAACCCAAGTCCTCTGCAAGAGCAGCAAATGCTTTTACTACATAAGCCAGCTCTCCAGCCCAAGCCTGGCTGTCCATGCGGCTGCCAGGGATCAAACTCGGGTCCTTGTGTTTGTGCGTTTGCATGGCAAGTACTTTATCAACTGAGCTATCTCTTCAGTGCCTCCTTCCCTCCCTTTCTTCCTCTTCCTCCTCCTCCTCTTCCTCCTCCTCCTCCTCCTCCTTCCGTTTTGAGACAGGGTCTTACTTCGAAGACCAGACTGCCCTCAAACTTTGGGCAATGCTCTTGCTTCTGCCTCCAGAGTGCTAGGATTAAACGCATGAATCACCAGACCCGGATACAGGGGATCTCCCCCTCCCCCACCCCCTTTTTTTCTCAGTAAGTATGTGTTGAGCACTTTCTCTGTGCCTGGCATTTTGTGGGCATTGAGAACACACATATCCCATAGCTCATCCTTGCCCTCACTACCACAGAAGGTCCCGAATTTGTAACAGGAGCACTTATGACACTCTGCCTGGGACTGGGGTTTCCTGGAGGGGAAATCCAAGTTACTCCTTTCCTCCAGGCAGATACACATTACCCAAGCTCTCAGGCCTCACACAAAAAGTAAACAAACAAACAAACACAGTTCCTTATTAGCCACAGAATAGGAATAATATATATAATATATATCTGTGGTCAAACCTACACAGCTAGCCTGATGCAATTTCATGAGAAGTTCAAAACTAGGTGAGTATGGTGATGCATGCCTTTAACACCAGTGCATGGAAGGCAGAGGCAAGTTGAGCTCTAAGTTTGAGACCAGCCTGGTCTATATATCTAGTTCCAGGACAGCCTGACAGGACTGTATAGTGCAAGCCTGTCTTTAAAAAGAAAAGAATTTTTTTAAAAAAGAAAACAAACAAACAAAAAAAACCCAAATGATAACTGTACTTTTTTAAATGTGTACTTTAAGTGTGTGTGTGTATGTGTCTGTATGTTAGTATGTGCATATGCGTTCAGATGCCCTTGGAGGCCAAAGGAGGGTTTCTGATGCCCTGAATCTGCAGCCACAGGTGGTTGTGAGCTCCATGATGTGGGTGCTAGGAACCTAACCACTCTTAACTGCTGAGCCATCTCTTCAGCTGCCCCCAGAAGAAAAACAAAATAAACAAGGTCCTCAGAATAAATAGACCAACGTATCAAGGTCATAGCTCCAGCCCTCAGTGACCCTAGAGAGAATGCCTGTAAACAAAAGGAGCCATGGTTCCTGTGGCCTTTACCCTATTGTCAAGCAAATTTACAGGCACAATGCTTAAAAGAAATACTTCCTGAAGGAAAGGTGAAAGCAATGTAGACAAAAATGGAGTACCCTTAAAAGACCTGGAAATAAGCTAGGTGTGGTGGCACACACCTTTAATTCCAGTACACACTAGGCAGAGGCAGGCAGGTCTCTGTGAGTTCAAGGCCAGCCTGGTCTACAATGGAGTTCCAAGACAGCCAGGGCTACATGGAGAAAAGCTGTCTCAAAACAAACAAAAGTGATTTAGAAATAAAGACCTGAAGCAATATTTTAGGCCTGTAATTTGAGCTCTCGGGAGACTAGATTAGCAGTCCAAGGCCACTTTAGCTACATAAGTGAAAAAAAGAGGCCATGAATGTGAAGGAGAGTGAATGGCAAGGGTTATATGGGAGGGTTTGGAGGGAGGAAAGAGAAGGAAAAATTCTGTAATTATAATTGCAAGGGGATGGAAAGATGGTTCAGCAGTTAAGAGCACTGGTTGCTCTTCCAGAGAACCCAGGTTCAATTCCCAATACCCCACATGCTAAATCACAACTGTCTGTAACTCCACTTCCAAAGGATCTGACACCCTCACACAGACAGACAGACATACAGGCAAAACACTAATGCACATGAAATGAAAAAAAATATAATCTCAAAAATAAGAAAGGAGCCGGGTGGCAAACACTTCTAATGCCATCATTTAGGAGGCAGAAGTAGATGGATCTCTGTGAGTTTAAGGCCATTTTGGTCTACATAGTGAGTTCTGGAACAGCCAGGGCTACATAGAGAAACCTTGTCTCAAATAAAAACCGAAACAAACAAAAACTCAAGTTGGTTTGATTCAGGGAGGGAGGAGGTGAACCTGACAGAAGCTGTCTTTCCGTGTAACTTTAAAGGTTACATTATCATTTCTGCTACAGTGTACTCTTTTTACAGTGTGTGTGTGTGTGTGTGTGTGTGTGTGTATGTGTGTGTGTGTGTGTGTGTGTGTATGTGTGTGTGTGTGTGTGTGTGTGTGTGTGTGTGTGTGTACGCGCGGCGCGTGTGTTTGAGGCAGGGTCTTTCAGTGTGTGTGTGTGTGTGTGTGTGTGTGTGTGTGTGTGTGTGTGTGTGTGTACGTGTGTGTACGTACGCGCGGCGCGTGTGCATGTGTTTGAGGCAGGGTCTCACTGTTATAGCTCTGGTTGGCCTGGAACTTGCTATGTAGCTATCAGACCAGGCTAGCCTTGAATGCACCACCATGCCTGGCCTGGAAGTAACTATGTAGCCAAGAATGAGCCTGACTCTCATTCTCCTGCCTTTACCTCCCAAATGCTGGGATATCAGGCATTTGTCACCATGCCTAGTTGGCACACTCAGTACCTAAAATAAGAAATAAAAATACTATCAAATCTTACCATTCAGGAAAAATATTAACATATTGAGGAGTAATTTTCTTTTCTTTTTTTCCCTGTTTTTTATTTTTGTTTTTTTTTTTTTTTTGGTTTTTCGAGACAGGGTTTCTCTGTGTAGCTTTGCGCCTTTCCTGGAGCTTGTGCTGTAGACTAGGCTGGCCTCGAACTCACAGAGATCTGCCTGCCTCTGCCTCCCAAAGGCATGCCCAACTACTTGCCCAGACATTTCTTTTATTGTTTTGAGACAGAGTCAAACTATGCAGTCCTGGCTGGCCTGGAACTCACTATGTAGGCCAGACTAGCCTCAAACTAACAGAGATGCACCTGCTTCTGTCTCCTGAGTGCTGGTCTTGCACCATCATGCCAGGCTGAGGAGTATTTTTCTGACATCTGTTATAAATATATTACCATGCTGTTCTATATAAATGAGATCTTTTTTCCTAAGTAAAAAAATGTTTGTAGTTTTAGTAGCTACCTGATATTCTATTGTACTATACTTTAACTATGGTGCATTTTTTCACTTAAAGCTATGGACAATTGCACTATTCTAAGTCTTGCTGGGACAGTTTTCCTTTTAGAAGATAAGAGAAAGTATATAGAGTCTGGCTGTAGGTTCTTTGTCATCTACCATCTGTGTCTTGATCAATGCTTTTGTTTTGAAATCTCAAATGTGGGCTGAAGTGTCCAAATAATGGTACTTTCCCCAAATTAAAAAAAATAATAGTAATAATTAAAATTAAAAATTTCCTCAATTGAACTGAGTTGTAGTGTAGTTCAGAGGTTGGTTGAATGCATGAGATCCTTGGTTAGATTACAAGCACCATAAAAAAAAATGAAAAAAAAAAAAACAATGAAAACCCCAAACAAACATCAATAACAAAACCAACTCTATTTTGCCCTAAGAATTTGATCAATTGAAGTTTACTATCACTCATGTTATTAAATTTTGGCTCCTGCTATCATTGTTTTATGATCAATTGTAGGAAAAGTATATTTTCACAGATTTTTATAATGAATTATTAAAAACAGTGTGATAGTCTGTGACTTCTAGATTTTAGGCTACTGAAGAGCTGGTTCTGTCAGATAAGAACAGGGAATAAATCTGTGTGGGGGACCTTCTCCATCATATCAAGGAAAATAACTGTTTCAATAAACCAAATTCACTGACATTTTTAATTAGTAAAACGTATGGTGGAGAAATCAAGAAACATTCAACATGCATTAATCTTGGACTAAGTGTGGAGAACTGTGCTGGAAGCCAGAGCAGTTCAGCTAAGGTGAACAGGCCTCCAGCCCAAAGGAACTCTGGACAGTTAAACCGTAGTGAGAACTCTGGTAGCTGAGAGACTGTACTTTGGGCAAGTGTCCAATGTCTCAAATTCTGAGATTACACTTCCCACCTCAAAAATAACGAAGTTAGAGTTCCTTATTCACAAATCATACTCATTCAATTCTGAAGAAAAGCAACAAAAGCAGAAACAAAAAAGTGTCTCTGGTTCTATTCTTTCTCAAACTCTGGAATATTTTAAAACTTTTCTTGTAGGATAATAGTGACTACCTTCCGGTACCGCGACATTGTCCCTCAGAGACTACAAGCCCCAGTAGGCTACACACGCGGAGCAACGGGTACTTTCCCCTAGAACACCCCTATCCAGATCCGTGGCTGAACGCTATGGCCGCATTGCCTTCTGGAACTTGTAGTCTACTCCCTTCTCCTGTCTGCGCAGACTCGAGCGGCCTCCGTCTGCCCTTCGGCCCTAGCAGAAGCCCAGCCCAGAATTCAACGTTCCCCACCCCCATCAAACTGCCTTCCCTCAGGAGCCAACCTCCTCCGGTCACATGGAAGACTCTCATGATGCGACTGGCTGGGGTGTGAAGGGGGGCGGGGCCGAAGCCCCTGTGAGGTTCCGTGCCCCTGGTCCAGCCGCTTGTTTGGCTGCTGCCGTCACCTCATGGCGACTCGGGTTGAGGAGGCAGCGCGGGGAAGAGGCGGCGGTACTGAGGAGGCTACTGAGGGCGGACGGGGCGGACGGCGACGCAGTCCCAGGCAGAAGGTCAGTGGAGAGGATGCCTTCGTTGTGGTTGGGTCGCAGGGATGATCGGGTTACCTTTTTCGGGATTTACCTCTGCAGTTACCCCCCTGTACCTTTAGCCACGGGACGAACATCCGGCCCTTTTCCCTCAGAGGGGTGACGATAGTTGGGAGCAGGTGGCGGGTGTGGGGCTGAAATGGATCGGGTGGGAAAGGACGATGGTTGGGACTTGGGGGCAGTCGGCGGTAGGGGGCTGAGGGAGGGCAGGGTGGACCCGGGCAGGGAGGGCGAAGGGGTGCTAGGCAGGGGTGCTCCAGGTATGACAGCCACGTGCGGCCGTTGCTGCCCCGAGGCGTCAGGTGTTCTCCCAGCCCGTGTGGTCACTGTGTGCTGGGACTCCACTGCCCGTGGAGGCGGCGGGGTGGGTTGCGGGGGGGGCTCACCCGGGTACAGGATTGCCCTTTAGGTGACGGGCAGGTGCGTAGGGCGAGCTGCAGAGTGCTCCCCCGGCCTCGGAGCTGAGGCTGTTGCGCAGTAAGATAACAGCGCGGGAGCTGGGGCTGCGCTTCGCCCATTCCCCCCTTCCCCCCCCCCTCGCCCTACCCCCCGCCACTGCGCGGGCGGCTACGCAGGGACGCTGCGGGGCTCCCGGGACCCACAGCCGGGGCTTGGTCTCTGGGCATCACGACCTGCCTTGCGGGTGAGGCTGGGGATGAGGAGGTGATGCTGGGGAAGGAGCATCATCGTCTGATAGCTGTCTCCCCATTCCTGCTACTACCCTCTCTTTCTTTTCTTTCTTTTTAATTTGGTAAGTGGAAACTTGAGTGCCTCCTGGGCTTGGGTTTTGGTCTTTTCTTAATCTAGAAGAGCTGGACCGTTTGTTAAACCCTTGCCTTACTTGACTCATGTCAAGGAGTTTTCAGTGTCTCCCTGGATACAGGAAAATCGAGATCTCTTTCAGAATGGGAGAATTCCACTTGTTCTGGAGCTCAGTGGGTGGAGTTTTGACAATGATTGCACAACGAATAGGGTACAGGACTTTCGGGTCCCAGGAACTAAGGACTAGGGTGTATGGTACTGAAAAGGTGGAAATCCCATCCTTTTTCCTTGCAGGAGAACATACCGAAACCGCTCGACTTGTTGGACACCCTGCTTGACCACTGAGGGCTATTTAATATTACTTAATTATGTATTTGACTAATCTTAAAAGCCACTCCTGTATGAAGTTACGAAATAATATTTTTCTAATGCGATTCATGAACTTCAAAAGGGAGAACAAAGGTCTGGTTTACATTTGAGCAGTGTCAAGAATTGGCTTTTTGGGGCATGTTCCTTTTCTCCCTCACTTTTTTGTTTTTTAAGATGGATCCTCATCCTGTAGCAGGCTGACCCCAATTGACTATGTACCCCAGGCTTGCCTTGGACTTGAGACGATCCTCTTCTCTTGCCTGGGTTTCCTGAGTGCTGAGATTATAGCTGTAAGCAAATACTCTGCCCTTTGGTGCTTTTCTCTAAAGTTTAAGTATTTTCAAGTTATTCTGTCTCATAAAAGAAGGATTTACTGCTTGTAGGACTGGAAAAAAAGCTGTGGCCCAGCATTTCTTTGGGGATTCAACACTGTCACTTTGGACATTTATTCCCTGAGGGTGGGGAGCCAATCTCAGTGTTTGATTTCATAGGTTCCCCAAGGGAGAGCTCTGATAAAAAGCCACTGCAATTGAGGACATAAGTTCCCTTTTATGCCACTGGAATAAGGACAAAAAGTCATTGAATTAGGAAGTAAGGTTTAATCAACTAGTATTTTAAACTACGAGGATAAGAGGTAATGACTCTTGAGTTCAGAGCTCTGGTTAATAGCTGGATATGAATTGTCTTGTGTGTTTATTGTCTTATTTTTACTTACTTTGTATTTCTTTGCTCATGCTTTTCTGGGAATCTTCCTTTTGGTTTCTTGACTATAAAATTGAATAGAAATTAACATTACTTTTTTGAATTTTCAGTTCAAAATTGAGTGAACATCTTGTGTCTGTAAAAATGAATTTTTAGTTGCTCGCTATGATCTTCAATTTATTGATTCAATGTTAGTAACCTGAGAAAATACTCCTTATTTCTAACTTAATCTCTATACTTTTGTTTTTCAGGAAGCAGAAATGATGTTAAACAGATTCAGTTATTTTTAAAATATTGGAGGAATTGAAAAACATGACTTCTTATTATGTGGTTATATTGTAGGACTTGAAGTAAAGAAAACTGGAGATGGGCTCTGTTGGTTCCTGGTTCAGATCATCTGCCCAGTCACTTATGTTTCTGAGGCAGTATCTAGTTTCTCCTCCCAAGTGCTATACAAGTGGCATTACTATACCTGCTTTTTTAAAAAGAGAATCTTGCTATCCTCATCTGGCTGGCCTTGAACTCTTGGGCTTAAGTGCCTAGTCACTCTTGACCTGCTCAGTTAATTATAGCATGGTTTCATAACGATATCATTTGAATGGACTCTTGGGGTGACTTTTCTCTTCTAAAGGTAACCTTACAGTGTATTTCTAGGTGTCATTTAAGGAATTGTCTTAAAACTACTGGTATTATAGGCACTAACCATATGTAGCTATCTATTTTTTTAATACTAGGGATTGAGTAGTAGAGATTACAGTCAATACCACTGGGCCCAATTTCAATTTGTTAAAAGTTAAATGAAGTTTTAAAATTCTCTGTTTCAATTATACTAGCCAAATTTCAAGTATTCCAGTAGTTAATATATCTATGCGTATTACAGAAGAGCTAGTATAGTTTCTGTGTTTTTAGTTTGTTTTGTTTCTGTTTTTGAAAGCCAAGGTCTCACTGTATAGCCCATGTTAACCTGGAACTCATTATGTAACCAATGCCAGCCTCAAATTTGCAGTCATCCCTTAGCCTCAGCTTTCCTAGTACTGGAATTACAGGTATAAGCCACTATACCTGGCTCCAAGACATTGTCATCATTGAGTAAAATTCTATTGGACATCATCGATCTAAGAAACTCAGTATACATTATTAAATATTATAGGCATTTTTAAAAAGCAAAGAACTATTAAGTTTACTCACATTACTTCCTATTTCATAAAGTTGATCTTAAAAATATCAAGACATGAGTCTGGAGAGATTGCTTAGCGGTTAAGATCATTGACTGTTCTTCCAGAGGACCCGGGTTCAATTTCCAGCACCCACATGGAAGCTTACAACTGTCTGTAACTCCAGTTTCAGGGGACCTGAAACCAATGCAAAACACCAATGCACATTAAATAAAAATAAATAAAATTTTAAAAAATCAAGATACTTGAGCAGTTTGTAAATATTATTAAAAAATGGAGCAGGGCCGGGTGGTGGTAGTGCATGCCTTTAATACCAGCACTTAAGAGGCAGAGCCAGGCGGATCTCTGTGAGTTTGAGGCCAGCCTGGTCTACAAAGCGAGTTCTAGGAAAGGCGCAAAGCTACACAGAGAAACCCTGTCTTGGGAAAAAAAAAAAAGGTGAAGCAGAAAGTAGAGTTTTCATATTTGTGCTCACACATATCCTATACCCTTATTTACATGTTACAGCAATGTGTTACAATTTGTTACAATTGTTCAGGCCACATAGATACATTATTACTGACTAAGCCCATAGTTTACAGGGTTCAGTGATGTTATACAATGTATAAATTTTGACAAGTATATAATAACATGTCCAGAGTAGCCTGTACTCCACCTAGTCATTCTTCCCAACTGCTGGCACCAACTGATTTTCTCTTTTAGTTGGATGATATTTATGTAAGTGTTTGAGTGTCAGTCATAGTACATGTATGTTGGTCAGAAGACAACATTTACCATATGGGTGCCTAGAAATCAAACTCAGGTTGGCAGCAAGTGCCTTTACCCACTGAGTCATTTTGCCAGCTTCTGGTGTGTTGTTTTTTGAGATAATATTTCACTGTGTAAGCCCAGACTGGCCTCAAAATTCTGATCCTCCTACCTTAGCCTAGAGTGTTTTTTACCAAACTGATCATTTAACTGTCTCCATAGTTTTGTCTTTTCTAAAATGTCTCAGGTTTTTTTTAAACAAAAGTTTTACTTTTGGGAATGTTAAAAGATGATTTGACACCATACATTATATGTGTATATGAAATTGGAAAGAAAAATGTGACTCCCAGAAAAAAAAAATGATTTGACTAGAGGCGGGAGAGATGCTTCAGTCATTAAGAGCACAGCTGCTCTTGTAGAGGACCAGAGTTCAATTCCTAGCACCCATATTAGGTGGCTTACAATTGCCAGTAACTCCAGTTTCAGGAAACTAATGCCTTGGTGCTCCATGGACACCTGTACATACCCACACACATACACATAATTAAAAATAAATTTTTTTTAAATTTTTGACTATTACTAAGCTTGTTTTAAGGTCTATAAACCATTTTGAAGGCTAAAAGTCTATGATACTTGGATTCACCTTACCAAAACCTTACTTTTATGTAGTATCCTGTCATTTTTATAGCATGTGTTTGCAAATACATTAACTCTTAGCATCACTCAGATGCTGTAAGGAAGGTTGGGCAGCTATCATTGCTTTTATTTACTGATGACACATTGCTAGGTAAGGTCAGGTGATTTGCCCAAGGGATGAAGCTAATTCTGGAACCCAGTGCCCTTTCATCTCTACTGTGGTAATAAGTAGTATAGTAGTGGGTAAATAGTACAGGTTTTAGAGTCAAGACTCTTGGCTCTGTCACTTAATAGTTTTGTAACCCTGGGCACATATGTCAGGCTACAAGCCTCAGTTGCATCACCTGAAAAGTGGGGATGCTGCTACACACACCATATTAGGATTATTGTGAAGAGTGAGTTGAAACGACAGTTGGCATAGTGCAGGGCATATAAAATTTTACATGGTTTGGAGGGGATAATACAGGGAAGATCAGATTCTCTTGCTTTTAGGGTGCTGTTAATTTTGTAATCCATCTTCTAGGCTTTGTATTTTCTTCCCTTCCCAGAATCTCTATGATAAAGTAGTCAGGG